TTTGATTACGGGTAGGTAATTAATCGGTTTAGGTGGGCATGTGGAATTTGATATTTTGTGTTCCTGTCTGACAACTAATCCTTTCGATGTTGCCAACATTCGTGGCCCTAGACTGACTCTTTTGAAAATGTTAATCGATTCTGAGGAATGGCAGACATTTTCGTACGTTGTCCTTTTCATTTCCCGTTCGTTGGATGAAGAACCTTTTTTAAAGATTGGTGAGGACAGGTGTCCCCTCGGCGCCATCTTTTCAGTAAGTTACGCCCCAGAATGGATGCTGCAGACACGGAGACTTTAATTCCAACAGTCCAGTCGAGTAAACTGAAGATATAAAATAAACGGGAGTATCTGTCTATGAATGTCTGAAACGTCGGCCTCGCTTGGTTCCTGATTTCACGTGTTTGAACGAAATACGTACGAGTTGGTGAGGATGAAGGTGGCAGAAAAGAATTTACAGGGCAGAGCACTGCCAAGGATTATTGTAGAACGAAGAAGTGTATTACATAATATTTAAGGTTATGCTAACTATTTGTTTTAATTTTGTGTTGTATACTGTTACGCCGCTGGATTCCATATTCCATACGCCATGATGACATGGGCATGGGCGTAGGGAATGGATAAGATTTCTATGGGTTATCTCGGGAAGTGGCCATGTGCCACGAATTAAAACACAATCCGTGATATGGGATACCTCCCTCCTCCTATGAAATTGATGGGAGGTCCCGTCCTCGTGCTGTGTGGTAACTGGGACAGGATGTATTCTGTGGGTTCTAAAACGTCAAGGTAACTGCTCCAAATACATCCGATACACATCCTTATCCACGGGGGATTTTGTTAACGTAGGATATATTATGAACACCTCGAAGCAAAAATGGTGTTTGGACGAAAATAGGAAAGAGGAATTTGAAATAGCAGGCGAAATCTTCTGTCAGAGGCTAGAGGAAAACATGATTGTTTGTAAATGACTGTCTTCTGAGTTTCGCGCCGTGTGATCTGGTAGAAGTTTACCAACATTTAAGAGGTCCTGACTCCATTATCAGGACGATGACTCATCGCCCTGATGATGGAGGCAGCAAGACTTTACAACCTACGATACAATCCATATGCTGCGATAATAATTTTTTTTTATTAGTGTTCTGTCTGACGACAGGTCCATATGAACAGGATCCTTCCATCCTTTTCTCGGACTGGGACCTGTTCATATACGTTCTTGGCAGATGATCCAGAAGGGGTTTGCCATTGCCTTCTTCTGTGTGAATGGAGTAATTGTTGGGATGCCAATGAGGAAAACTCCGTGTTGCCTAGGCCACGGCCTTGCCCAACACAAGTTAAAAATTCGGGCACCGCCGGGAATCGAAACTGAGACCCCAGGATTACAAGGCCAGCGTTCTAACCGCTAGACCACCTCATCTTATTATTATTTAGTGTTCTGTCTGACGACAGGTACGTATGAACAGGATCCTTCCCTCCTTTTCTCGGCCTGGGACCTGTTCATATACGTTCTTGGCAGATGATCCAGAAGTGGTTTGCCGTTGCCTTCTTCTGTGTGTGAATGGAGTAATTGTTGGGATGCCCCGGAGGAAAACTCCGTGTTGCCTAGACCACGGCCTTGCCCAACACAAGTTATAAATTTGAGCACCACCGGGAATTGAACCCGGGACCCCAGGATTACAAGGCTAGTGTTCTGACCGCTGACAATAATATACACGCATAAAAAAAGGTATTTCGAATTGTAGACGGTCCAAGAGATTGAGGTTTTACTTTATTAGAAACCGAGCCTGGTCCTGTGATGTGAGACGCAGAAGCGTGGAGTATCACAGCCTGCAATCAGAGTTTGCGTCAAGGAGACCACAGATATGTTATCAGGCCACAGCGCGTGATGATGCATGCGTTCCTGGTAGGAGGTCGCAGATCGCCGTGGAAAACCGTTTCCTGCAGACTGAAACCTTGTTCGTACGTCATGTGACAGAAAGAAAGGTGGATCCTTGTGAGTGATTTATTGTCTTCATATTTTTTCGTACCTACTCAGCTGAAGGTCTGCTGTTTCTTTGAATTAAGAGGCACTGTAATGGTGTTCAGACTAAATGGGACTTTCTGGTAACAACCTCCTCGAAGGCAATGGAGCCATCTGCTCCTGCCGCAGTTACTACGCCCACACTCCTGATATTTATGGTTCTAAAGGTTTCGAAGGTGTAATTCGATGTCCCCTGGATCGTGACGTCGTGTACTCTTAACTCTGAGGATGGCAGCGATGAGTTTATCCGAAACAAGTGTTTTTATTTCACACTGGTGTTACGTGAAAGGTTAGCCAACGCGTGTATCGGGCGCGATGGAAAACAATTACCGGATATCGGAAACGTCTTGCAAATTCGCTGATGATGGAGGTAGCAAGGACCTCTGAAACGTCGGTAAACTTTCACCAGACTACACGGCTCTAAAGCTTAAGAAACACGAAAGTGAAATTTTAATTTTTATCCGGAAGTAATTCACACAAATTTCATGTTTTATATAGTAAAGTAAAGTTTGTCCCACTATACGCCATGTAGGCGCTTGGGGGGAGTGGAGGTATAGCTCCTCTCTTCCTTGACCTCGGCACTAGATGGGGGTGAGTGGTCGGCATCACGCCCCGGCCGGCTTTACCCCCGGGAAAGGACCCCGGTACCCATTGTAGAGGAGGCTGGGTGGGCCCCAGAGCCAGAATTTTTTGGAAACTCGCAAAGGAAAATATTATTGCAACAAAGTTTGGGCTCAAAATACAGAGTTCTGGCTCAGAGGAACATTTCCAGATTTTGAAGCTTCTAGTTTACTTACTGGTCCAGTTGCGTTTGCCGTGTACGGGCAGAGGACATCTTGAGTTCGCTTGTTTCATTTTCCCAGTATTCGGTATATTTTAATGTGGGGGTTCACAACTTTTAACATTCCTGGGAACAGTCATGCTTTCTTATCATCTAGCAGGCCGGAAGGTTATAAACGAATGCAATTCATTGAAAGGTCATGGAATTAATATTATTTGCTAGCATCATGTGGTATTTGTTATCTAGCTACGTAGACTGTTACAGGCTCGCGTTAAATATAATTAAAAGTTTCAAATATTGTTGATCTGTAGAGAAAATTTTAGGAATTGTAACAATTTGTAGAGCTGTAATACACCTTTAAATACATTAATTATATTTAACATATTAAGAAAAAAAAAGATTCGATCTAACTTGCAACTTATAGGACAATTGAGATATTTGTGTTCCAATATATTTTCATGTATCCAGTTTTGATCAATTCGTAATAAGTAAACATTTATTTTTGTGTTGGTTGTTAAAAGTTGGACCTAACTTCTGCCGTATTATGCAACATATTATTTTAAATGTGTTTTAAAAGGGCATATCCTCACAGATTTACACACATTGATGACGTTCTCCAGGCCTAACAGGTATTCAGCTGACGATAGCCACATAATAGGCCGAAACATGTAGCTGCTTAATATCTAAAATCCTATTTTATAAAAGCTGAATGTTAAATTTCGCGTGACGAAAGAGACATTGTCATGGCAATTTGTTAAAAATGTTAGTAAATTAGGTATCCTATCCATGTATTACTCAAATTTTATCTGAAAATTAATCTTTGGTTGAGATATCGAAGTTTGGAATTTAAAAACCGTCTCCAACGCACCTGTCTGTGTTCTCTTCCCATAAGGCATTAGATTTGGAATTTGGATTGTCAGATGTATGTGAGGTTTTATTGAAAAGGGTTAGAAAATTCAAATTAGTGTAGGTTCAGGAGACCATATGACAAAAGCTGCTCTGAAATAGCAGACGATTGTACGTGATGATGCCATTGTGCACGTGCGCGCCCCAACCGAGGATAAGCAGACTGTATGCGTAATTCTTTGTGTCACCATCTCGTGGTCAGCGACGGAAACGATACTTACATATTCTGCCAAAAGATGGC